AATTTTCGAAACTTAAAACTAACAGTTTTAAACCAGCGCAACCACATTTTAAGTAAAATACCCTAATTTTGTAAAAAAAAAAAAGATTTTTAAATATAGAGCTGTTATGACCTTTTTGTAATTTTCACAAATTCTAACAAATTTAACTCGCTTTTTGTTAATTAATTATTTGCATTTAAGTTCCAAATAAAGATTTAATTTTTATCACAAAAAAAGAACCTTGTATCACGTTTCATTTCGATAATAAACCACATAACGCGCTTGGGCCACGTTCCGTGCCGCTGAGTTTATATAAATCTACAGTTTTTTTTTTTATTGTTTAGATAGGTGGACGATCTCACAGCCCACCTGGTGTTAAGTGGTTACTGGAGCCCATAGACATCTACAACTTAAATGCGCCACCCACCTTGAGATATAAGTTTTAAGGTCTCAGTATAGTTATAACGGCTGCCCCACCCTTCAAGCCGAAACGCATTACTGCTTCACGGCAGAAATAGGCGGGGTGGTGGTACCTACCCGTGTGGACTCATAAGAGGTCTACCACCAGGTTTTTACGGATGTTCCGTTGTAACTACTTAACCATGCATCCCATTGGCTTGAAACTTGGTATCCATGTAGAAAATACATGTACTTAATGGATAGGCTAATATTTATATGAGTGTTGAACTCCCTACACCAATTGTGGGGGCGTTAATGATGAGAATCTTTGTGGGGGTGAGAAATAATAGTGTTAATTTTAAATGCCCAGCGAAGCGGACGGGTACAGCTAGTATTTAGTAAATATATATCAAAAGGGTCATAGTTCTAATCTCATGCTTATTTGAACTTAATTTTCTATGACTATGAAACCTGATCTGAATCTTCTTTATTTAGCTTGTGAATGAATCTACACTTACATTTGTTGAATTAATATTTTTGTTCACTATTTTCTTTTCAGAAATTCCTGAAGGGCAATGAAACTCTGCAGCTTACAGCTAAAGTGGATCCTTCATTGATTGGTGGCATGGTTGTTTCAATTGGGGATAAATATGTCGACATGAGTGTAGCAAGTAAAGTCAAGAAATACACTGAGCTTATCAGTGCTGCTGTTTAAGCCTAAGTTTCATTATAAAGATTTAGCAAACAATGAAATATATTTAATCAGTTTATTTAGTGTTTTAATTAGTAGTGCTGTTCAGGCAAGCTACCTATATAGACATTTTAGAGAAATACTCAGATAGGTTCAGAAGTAACTGCCATTTACACCTAGAGATTGTTTTCTTTTGAGTTTAAATAAAAAAAAAACTTGTTAAGTATGTGGTTTGAACCTTTCAAAGTTAGCAGTAGGATTATACTTTTAAATTGTGATTCATGCTCAAGAACTGCTATTTGTAGTTAAACAAACTATATAAATTATATTTCCATTATCCATTTTGTTTAAAATGACATCTATTAGTCACTTGAATTGTTATCCAAATCCTATGAAATGAGATCAAAAGTAGTCAAACTAGGTACAGAATAAGAATGAAGAATTAAATGTTTGTGTATGTTACGGGCACATAATTGATTAGTCTAATGCGAGCACTGTATATTCAAATATTTGAAAACTGTTTATCAACAGTGAATAATATTAGGTATTGATCAGAGAGCTCATAACCGAACGTGATTACCTTTCCTGTCTTCCAAATCATTCAATCCCGTTTTTGCAGGATAGCCGTCGGAGCCCCGTGGTTCGTCAGGAACGTCGACCTCCATGACGACCTGGACTTAGAGTCCATCAGTAAGTATCTTTAGTCGGCGTCGATGCGCCAATTCGATAAAGCGGCACGACACGAGAACCCTCTCATCGTGGCCGCCGGTAACTACATTCCCGATCCTGCGGATAGAATGGAAAGCAGTCGACGTCGCCCAAAACACGTCATCTCGGATCCTCCCGATCCACTAACGGTGCTTTTAGGTACTTCAAGCACCGGTCACCGTTCTCGTCGAACCCGTCGCTTGCGACGAAGGGCTCAACGAGTAAATTAACTCTCAGACACAGTCCACTGAGTTTCTCGCCGGATCTTCTCAGTGGGTCGCGTTTCCGATCCGGTGGTAGATTCTGCGAAGCACGGCTCTTGCTAGGGTTCGTGTTAACAACGTCATCAGGTTTGAGCCCCGTGAGCTCACCTACAAACGTTAGGGTTACGCTGAAATAGCCTCTCAAGGCTCTCAGCTTAGGTAGGAAAAAAAAAAACCTGTCTCGTATCCTCTTTATATTAGAATGCAGGGCTTTGTTTAAACAAAGTTCCCACACTGCATGCCTACATACAATATACAATCAATCTGTAAGACCATTCAGTGAGTGGTTACCGTCGCCCACGAACGTTAGCAATGCCAGGGGCAGGACCAACCAGCTGCTTATCGGTAAGTTCTGTGAAACACTGCTCTTGCTAGAGCTAGTGTTAGCAAATTCTTGAGCCCATGACCTCATCAACTCGTCCGGGCATAGCTGGAATAGCCCCTTAGCCGATCAACGAAAAGGTAGGGGAAAAGTATGGGTCAATTCAAATCAAATCAGCTCAATTCATTTAAAAACAGCCTTGTTTGTTTATTGTGATAAGGAACTTTTTGTCATGACACCAAAATTCTAAAGCGTCCTTTTGAGCGGTGTTCAGTATTGAAGTTATCTGAAAAAACAAGTCTTCTAAAATGTTCGGAGTCTTCAGCATGGCAACGCGTTACTTTCCATCTGAATCAAAAATTGAGGCATAAACTCTTCGATCAATAATACTACTATTGATTGGTACTATTATTGATCGAAGCATAAACTGCAACAATTGCAACAATCTTTGGGTCGGGGCTCCCAAACACCAGCTACTTCCATTTTACTTCATACATATTTTATAGACTTGCGCAAAACATCACTTCCCAATGTAATGTGATATGACATCACTTTTAAGCCGAATTTACATTACGAAATTAGTGGCGTGAAATTAATTTCGTGACATTAGTTTTACCAACAGTTTCACGTGTAATTTAATACTTTCGTAATGCATGCATTAATTTCATGCATGTAAATTAGTTTCGTGCCCTGCGCAATTTTTTGGTGAAATTAGTGTCATGCAACTAATTTCATAGTGTAGACGCGACGTGAAACTAATGTCGCGAAAGGGCCTGCGCTGTGCGGACGTGTGTATTCTTAGTTCGGACGCGCTTCAAGCGTTGAAAATGGCAAACCAATGATGGAGTACAGAAAAAAATATAGATCTTATTATAATGAATATCAATGACAAGGGTCCCGAAACACCTATGGTAAAAAATCAAAATTATCTTAATTCATTCGAAAATAGTTTTTATAACTCTCAGGATCTTCATCTGCTAATTCAGAGACTAACTTCATTGCACCTAAATGCCTTCTTGTTGACCATCCTCGAATCTACCAACTTTTTTTTTTCTTGATAGTCTTTTTAAGTTGATAGGTATATAAGCATTTCTTTAGCTACATTGAATATAGCAAATTATAGCTTTGATGCTGAAGGCGCCATGGTTACTGCGATACTGTTAATTTCGCGACACTAATTTTTTAACGAAATTACTTTCCCATATATCGAAACTACTTTCGTGAAACTGAGTTCAACATGCATGACACTAATTTCGTAATGTAATCTCGGCATAAGTGATGTGTTCATACTTTGTATTGTAATACACTGTTATATTACTTGACAGAGATTGACTTACATAATAATATAATAATTTTATTTTTTACTTATTATAATTTATTGTTTTATTTGGCCCTTAAATATTATGTAGCTACAGAAGAGCCAGTACGGATTGCTTAATGTTCTTGATCTCACGTACAACTCTCAAATATATTAAGTGTATAATCTATGCGTACAACGGAACCTCGGGTCTGTAAAGGGACTGTTACTCTCTTTAATTTCATACCATAGCTATCTATTTGATTTAGTGATATAAACTTATGGCTTAAAAATTACCATTTCCGAAAAAAAAAACACTGTGTGGTGTTTATGAACGCACATTTTTATGATGCGTAAGCCGGAACGCACGAGATGTAAAAAAAAGAATATAGCCTGTGACACGGGACGTTTTTACCGCCAAATATTTAAAACGTAAAAATAATTTATAATGTGTTAAATAACTAATATAATAATTACTTAGAATTGTTTATGCCGCTATAACAATAAAATTTAATTGTTCCAACTGTGGTGTTAATTACATAAAACACGACTTTACGGCGAAATAAAGAAGGAACTCTATAATATGAACTCCCATAACTGCTATCTAAATTCAGTGATGCCAACTCCTGGGTTTTCCCCCCAAATTTAGGAGGAAAAAATCTATACAGGGATTTTTTTAGGGGGTGAAATTTTTTGAGGATATATTTAGGGATAACATTTTATATAGAAAAATACTTAAAAATACTAAATAACTATTGTTTTTAACTAATTATTTATTATTTTTATTTATTTCTTTACTTATATTGTAATGAATAAATACTTGGTCCGTCGTTGGGGATTTTTGTTTTGAATTTAGTGGTTTTTGAAATTGCTTTAGGCGGAAAGTTTTCAAACAGTTGGCGACACTGTCTAAAGTCAAAGAATAGAAGATTTTTTGGCGGGAACGCGAGGAGTGAAGTTGTGTGATTTGTTTTATTTTGTCTATTTATTGTTTCTTCGGGTTTAAATGTATAATAATGGTGGTTTATTAACTGTTTAATATCTGTGAAAGTGCACAAATGTAGGAAAATGAAACAAAGCCGCTGGACGTAACTTCTCGGGATCCTCCAAAAAGTCCACTGAAAAAATCTTAGTAAATGACCACCATTTTACTGATATTATATTTCATCCCAGTTGATTAATGTCTCAAATTAATTATCTTCATTTCATTTCACTCCATAATATCATTTTTCATAAAAATATGAATATACATTAAAATAAGACATGACTTAAAGGTCTAAGTTACCAGGTCATAAAATCCCTTGAAAAAATAATAATCAAAGAATAGAATTTAATTTTTAATCTCCGAGGCATAGATTAGACACGTATGCTCCGAGGCATTAGACAATTTGCGGAGATTTGAATACAAAACTGTATTTATTCTTAAAAAATTGTTGGGAATCTCAGCAAAAATATTCTAAAATATGTCTTCATATAAGGTTAGACTTACTTATAAAAAAAGAAAAGAAAAAAAGATGACAATCACCTTTTTTGCACTCATAGTTTGTTTATATTGATATTACTATTTTATAATTTGTTGTAGCCAATTGATTCTAAGAGAGAAGAGTTTCGGCGTTACTTAGAACGAGCGGGTGTAATGGATGCTCTTACTAAAGTTCTAGTAAGTTTGTATGAAGAACCGGATAAACCAGAAGATGCCTTGGAATATGTACGCAAACATTTAGGTTCTGATGGAGGTGAAGACGAGCTTGAAGCAGCAAGAGCTCGTATCGCTGAATTAGAAGCTGAAAACGCATTACTCAAAGGAGATGCTGCACCTGCTGAAGGGTAAATTGAGACAGGTTTTCATTGCATAGATCTCATCAATTGATCTCACATGAAAGTATTTCTATTAAAACTTTAACTTAGTGTTATAAAATAATATTGTTAAATTGTTGGTTATTTTGGTTAAAAAAGTGCAGATGATGCAATTAAGTTTTGTTCTTTGTTAAGTACTTGTTTGATCTGAACTTTTTGAAAATGGGAAAGAAGCAACTTGACAAATAAATATATAATTTCATTTGAATGAAATTTCTTGGCAATAGTAAGTATGACCTTTTTAATTATAATTATAATTCAATGTATTAATACATTTGTTGTTGATTTAAGAATGAGCAATGGATCTCTATCTTAGGTAGCAATTATTAATTAGTGATAACCACTTAATTTAAATTTATTTTTTTCCTACCAATGCTGATAGCCTTGAGATGCTATTTCAGTTTCTCCTTGGCGTGTAGGTAAGCTCACAGGGTTCAAACCGGAGTGTTGCTAACACTGGCCCTAGCTAGAGTGGTGCTTTGCAGAATCTACCACCGGATCGAAAACGTGACCCGCTGAGAAACACAGTGGGCTGTATCTATGGGTTAATTTACACGTCGAGCCCCTCGTTGCTTGAGGTAACTAAAAGTACCGTTAATGGATCAGGAGGATCTGTAATGACATGTTTTTAGGGCAATATACTGTTTACCATTCGGTACACAGGATCAGGTATATGTATTTATCCACTCTGTGACTAGTGAATTGTAATTAAGGAATAACTATTAATAAAAATTAAAAACGCAATAAAGTTTTAGGCTGTAGATTGTAGCCTATAATTTTTCAAATTTCACTACTGGCAATAATGTACAACATCCCACTTATATCTGGCATAAAGCATTTTACAGTGGCACACTTTACAGTTTGAAGGTTGGAATTTGTTTTGTATTGTCTATGGGTTTTACTATGAATAGCAAGCAAAAGAGCAATAAAAAAGAACATCATTGTGACCACTGAAAAATATTGTATGAGACAGTAGTTTGTTGAAACTATATGCACATGATCTGTTTGCCATGTTCAACTTAAACCCTGAGATCAATCTAGTGAAGTAGTTCCTATAGGGCAAGTTATACTACCACTCCACCCATATATTCTCATCTTTGGTGTTAAATCTAATTGCAGTTAGGTAACAATTTTATTTTCTAAGTAAATAAGTACCTTTAGTTATAAATACTTCTATAACAAAGTTAGGTAGTACAAATGAAATCGGAAATCCTTCCTGGTTTCCTTGGTTGAGTTCAGTCCTATCCTTATATCATGACTGACAACACATATTATGGAAAGTGGAGGTAGTGTTAAAAATTCCTGGCAGCATTTTACTAATCCAACTAAACTACCCAAACCAATTGAATACAGCTATCAGCTTACTTGTTGAAAATAATCTACTTAATTGTTCAATGTTTGATTGATGTAGTTGTGACATGCACACACTCATTGCTATGGTGGCAACCATGTTATCTGCTGGCAAGTATAATTTTTCTGGGGAAATACACATACTTTAATGTTCACAAATGAAAAAATAAAAACATGTAATAAAACACATTCATAATTGCTTACGAATTAATTGATTAGGACATTCTGCTGTGAAACAGTCTTTCACTTTGGGTGGTGTAGCAGTTGAATAATTGTTGATTTTCAACTCATGTCTAGATGAATTTGCTACAATAACGCTTTTTTTTTAATTGCTTTGGTGGCTGGACGAGTTCACAGCCCACCTGTTGTTAAGTGGTTACTGGCGCCCATAGAGAGATACCCAAGAGATATGAGTTCTGAGGTCTCAGTATAGTTACAACGACTGCCCTGCCCTTGAAACCGAAACGAATTACTGCTTCACGGCAGAAATAGGCAGGGTGGTGGTAACTACCCGTGCGGACTAACAAGAGGTCCCACCACCAGTAATTACGCAAATTATAATTTTGAGTTTGATTTTTATTACATGATTCGAACACCATTGCATCGCTAGATACGAATGCACCGGACGACTTATCCTTTAGTCCACANACGACTGCCCTGCCCTTGAAACCGAAACGAATTACTGCTTCACGGCAGAAATAGGCAGGGTGGTGGTAACTACCCGTGCGGACTAACAAGAGGTCCCACCACCAGTAATTACGCAAATTATAATTTTGAGTTTGATTTTTATTACATGATTCGAACACCATTGCATCGCTAGATACGAATGCACCGGACGACTTATCCTTTAGTCCACAACTACTTCGACGCTAAATGGCTAAATGCTAAACGGGCCGTGAGCGCATTCATCCAAGAAACCACGATTCCCCTTTCACTACCTTACCCGACTTTCCCCGGGTAGAGTAGGGGTTTTTTGCGCGGTCAATACTATACGGCGCTACCAACGGCTCCTCGAGGCGATCATCGACGACTAACGACGTTGATCTTCGCGGCACGGCGGCCCGTCAGTCTGTCCGGGCGTTGCTGGTATTCCGGGATATCCCGCTGGGTCGGAGCGCCGTCTGAATTACTCCTCTACAGTACGTCTTAGAGACTACAGCAACGTGATATCATATATCTTTATTTGTAAACTAGACTTGTTAATTCGTTCCAATTATTAAAATCTAAATATTTAACACAATTTTAACACATTTAGCAAAAAATACAAACACAAATTAGTTTTATCGGATTTATTATTCAAAGATTTATCTTCGCATGGTATTAGAAACTGAAACTAAAATTTGTTATGGGTAACCCACTAAAAATGTTACCATTTCGAATTTCTTAAAAATAAATTTAATTTTAAATCGAATAATACGTATTAGATTAAATCTATGTTATATCAAATGATGCAAACAAATATTTAAGACTCATCATCACTTCCAGCTGGCGCTCTTGGTTTTGGTCCGCCTGCTCTCTTTGCCATAATGATTTGATCAACCTTAAGAATGGTTGTTGCTGCTCCAACAGCATACTTTATTCCCCAGAATTTCAAAAGATATGAGTCAATTATGCCTTTTTCTTTAGCATCACAAACACCATTGTTTTCTGAATCAATATCAAAACCAGCATTTTTTTGTCCCTCCTGAAACAAATAATATTAGGATATTATATTATTTTAAACACTTTGTAGATTTTTGTACACAAAATATAAAATACCTTGTGTGCCTTGTAAATTTTGTTTACAACTTCAGTGGCATTGGCACCTGAGTTATCTGCCAAAGCACGAGGTATGCTCTCAAGAGCCACTGCAAACTTCCTTACAGCATACTGTTCTAAACCGGGCAGAGTGTCAGCAAACTCCAATAACTGTTGTGCTAATTCAATTTCTGTTGCTCCGGCGCCTGGTACAAATCTGAAAAAAATAATTAAATTTTGATTGTTGGTAAAACTTCAAAGAACTACAAGTATTCTATTTATGGCATTACTATATTTATATATATTATGTGGCCGCGGGTAGCAACTAGTATAAATAATACTATAATTATATATGTATAACAGATATATTACTATCATGCATGACGCTGACGCGAACTCACAAAATTTCACTCATCTAAAAAGCGTCCGAGGCGCACAGGACACGGTCAGGTATATACGATGTGTTTGTATGTAACATTAGCATGGGGGTGACGTGAACGCATAAGATTTTCGCCTACCAAAAAGTGCTCAACACTAAAGAAGTTTTCGCATAAAAAAACATAGTAACGTAAAACTTTTACCTCCCATCTCTAGCAATTCCCTTGAATGTATTAACACCATCATCAATAGCCCTCTCTATATCGTCCATGTAGTTGTCAGTAGAACCTCTAATGACAATAGTGGAAATCCGAGATTCTGAGCTTTCCATCTTGAACACAACAACACGAGTGTCCCCGACTTCATCAACATGTACAGCATCACAGTATCCAAGTTCCTGGGTAGTTGGGGTCGTTAATCTTGGTAAAACCTAAAATAGTAATTTCAGATTTATAGGGAATATTTGAACTAAATTTCCAAAAGTTCAATATTTTCTTTATTCAGCTTTTTCACATTTCTAACATATCTATAGCTTACCGTAGCATTTACAGTCTTAGCCAACCGACGAATGTCGAATTTGGAATTAAGACGGACAGCCATAATATTGTATTTATTCAAGAAGTGTAAGGCCATATCTCCAAATTTAGCACCAGCCACTATAACTTTCACCCCAGAGTCGGAAATATCTTTAATCTGCTTTTCAAGTAAAGATTCTTCTCCTTTACTGAAGTTCAGTAATTCATCAGCACTCTTAATGAGGACCGTGCCCTTAGTTTCAGTCTGGATTATGTCAATAGGACATGAGTATACTGCTATTTTAGCATTCTTAGCTGAAGAGACATCTCCTTCTACTTCCCGTCTAAATACCATTCCAGAAAGTACCTCAGATTGCAACAGTCCAGCACCTAGAATCTAATAAATTATACTTTTTAGTCTGTAGCTATAATTCTGCTGCATATATTATTATTTAAAGACTGAAAAACAAGCTCAAACAAGATTCAAAGCTGTAATATAATTTAAATGTAGCATGCTTGGTATACACATTTTTTTCGTACAGGTTTAGTCATCGTGGCCTAAAGGATAAGACTCCTGGTGCATGCATTCATTCGTAACAAGGGATGCGATTGTGCCGGAGTTCAAATTCCGCAGACAGATAGCAGACATATCTCTCTGCGTACTTTTAAAATGTTCATGAGTGACTTCCACAGTGAAGGAACAACATAGTACAATAAAAAATAACCCGCAAAATTATAATCCGCGAAATTAATGGTGGTAGTCTTGTGGGTCCCACACCCTGCCTATTTCTGCCGTGAAGCAGTAATGCGTTTTGGTTTGACGGGTGGGGCAGCTCACCCACTTGTCTGCGTGTAGCTGAGACAACTTCTTAGGCTACCAGCAAATCTAAGGGGCTAATAATATTATTTGAATTTATTAAGGAATACTTAAGTTTCACATTACATAGCATAGTATAATGTATTACTTCTACAAGGGCTATTCTACGGCTACCAGCAAATAGGCAGAGAACACTATACATGATGGTGCCATTATTTAACATATCAGTATATATAGTAGGAGACCTGGCACCAATTTTTGGGTAGGTATTTGAGGCAAGCTGAAAACTTGTCACATACCTCTCCTATTATATTCCAACACGGAATTGCAGACCTGGCTGTTGAGTAGCGGGGCTAAATCAACCACTACATTTTTAAAAATATTAATTTTTTTTCCCCAAAAATATATTTGAGGCAATACGCAATTTATATATGTTGCAGTGTAATGCTAAATAAATATGAAAAAAATAAGCCAGACAATTTAATCGGGGTTGTAACATTACCAGACGCGTGCAAAAAATTTTTGCGAAAAATTATAAAAAATGTTTTTGAGGCAGCTTGAAATTTTAATGGAGTGTTTTTATAGCTGATTCCTTTTTGAGATTCCCAAAAAGACAGATCATTTCGGTAGGGCTTTCTACTTGCCAGGTGATCAAACAAATAATGGATGGGTATAGTCCCTGGCACGTAACTTGGCAAGAGTCGTTAGATGCGCAGAAGTCGTTTTTTAGGTCTCTTTGGTTGTCAAGCGGGACGCGGGGAAAGACGTAGCACCGTTCCGAGCGCGCGATTGGTGAGTCAGTCGACGCTCCCCTCCCGCACCGCATCCACGTTCCGTTCCCTCCCGGTTACACATGCGCCTACTAAGTTGTAGGAACCCTTTGTTTATATTAAGTTTTTGTTAGGAGTTGTTATTATTGTTTAAATTTAGTTTTTGTTACGAGTGTTATTGTTATAAATTTGTTTGCAATGCCAAGACCAAATACCAATGACCATATAGTAGATTCAGTCACTGAGCGTTTTATTATTTACGCCAGTGACGACAGCGAGTCTTCGTTATGTCGACGATGAGGAGCCAACTCCTTCTACCAGCTCAGGTGCTATCATAAATTTAATCCAAGGGGTAGCACTATTAGAAAATGATAGTGACGACGGCGACACATCATTTTTAATATAAAGTATATGTTTTTAAATAAACTTCTTTACTTTTAATTGTATTTTATTTATAACACCTAATACACTTCACGAGTTCCTCTCTTTTCTTTAACTTTCTTCAAAACACACAGGCTTAAAAATAAATTATTGCAAATAAAAAATTAATAAAATAAAATAAAATCATATGCGGGCAATAAAAGTGACCATTTTTTTGTTGCAATGTGCACTATGCGCGACATTACCCCCACTACACCAAAACCAAAAGAATTTCGGAGTAAAAAATATAAAATTTTCTGAATTTGTACTAGATACATTTTGCAGAAAAGTGATTGTATTGATTTATGGACGTTAGAGGGATATATTTTTGTGATTTCTTTTTTATCTTAAAAAATTAGTTATTTTGCCAATTTTAATGCGAATTTAAACGTACTGAATTGTTTAAATATTTGATATTTCCGTAAAAATATTTATTTTTTGAAGAGAATTTAAAAAAGAATTATTTTTTCTATTGTCTATAGCAGTACAGGCCCGTACCCATCCATTATTTGTTTGATCACCTGGCAAGTAGAAAGCCCTACCGAAATGATCTGTCTTTTTGGGAATCTTATTTTTCAGCTATAAATAACACTCCATTAAAATTTCAAGCTGCCTCAAAAACATTTTTTATAATTTTTTGCAAAAAATTTTTGCACGCGTCTGGTAATGTTACAGCCCCGATTAAATTGTCTGGCTTATTTTTTTTCGTATTTATTAAGTATTACACTGCAACATATATAAATTGCGTATTGCCTCAAATATATTTTTGGAGAAAAAAAATTAATATTTCTAAAAATGTAGGGGTTGATTTAGCCCCGCTACTCTCCAGCCAGGTCTGCAATTCCGTGTTGGAATATAATAGGAGAGGTATGTGACAAGTTTTCAGCTTGCCTCAAATACCTACCCAAAAATTGGTACCAGCTCTCGGACTAATATAATCAGTTAGTAATTTTAGGGGTTTCAATAAAATGGGACACCAATTGACTACAAAATAAATTCATTTTATATTTTTGCTTAATACTTACTTTGCATACTCTAACATTATCAACATTAAATGTAGTTTTTTCTGGTAGTATTGCAACACAGGCTTTCGTGACAAGCTCAGAAATGAATTGTTCATGACCATATTGTTTAGACATGATAGCAGCAACAATACCCTTTGTAACTTCTTTAATGTTTTTTGTGTCTTTTATCTCATTACAAATGAGAGAAGGAAGGATTTCCAGACATTTGTCAAGTGCTCTCTCATATCCATCAGCAATTTCACTGGTAGTTACTCCCAAGCGGAGTAGTTCCTCTGCAGCTTCTAATAATGCTCCTGACAAGACAATCACAAAGTTGGTACCATCACCAACTTCAGCATCTTGCATTTGACTAGCTAGTACCATTAGTTTGGCTGCTGGATGTTCCACATCTAACTCTCTTATGATGGTGCCAGCATCACTGGTAACAAATTGCTTATCAATATGATTGATGATCATTTTGTTCATGCCATTAGGGCCATATGCAGAACGCACACTCTGTGCAAATTGTTTACAGGCATTAATATTTCTATATACTGCCTCTTCCAATCCAGAAAACATCTGTAATAATAATTAATCACTTTTAAGAGTTGGTTTTCAATTGGGAATGAACAACTATAACTATGATATATAATGATTTGACAGTAGATACACTCACTGCACTACAATCATAATATGTTATTCTATTAAAAATCATTACGTGATTGAAATGAAATGAAATGGAGAAACTGGATTAAGTCATCTTTAAAAATCCTCTTGCATAGTGGTAAAAAAATGTTTCTATTTTTTGGTAAATTATACTTTTATCAAGTCCTTTATGTAGTTTTTTACCAATGAGAAACTTCTGCACTAATTATTCAATGATCAATTCATGATTAAATACAGACCAGCAAAAAGAAAAAAAACTTGACCTATTATGTTTGTGTTTTAATGGAGAAAGGTAATAATTTTTATATGAAGTTTGCAATATAACTTTTTTCATAAAAATAACATTACAAGGTAATAAAAACAATAAAAAAACAATTATGACAAAATTGTCCTGACCGTTACTTTAAAGAGTTTCAGAGAGTTGCAACTCAAAAAATTGAGGATTCATCTATTCAATTATAAGTACTCATGCACTTTTTTGTTGCAAACCTACTATTTTTGTACACATTTCAGCATAAATTACTTAAAATATCTGAATGCAGTTCAGAGTGGACATAAAATTATCATTATTTCCAATAATATAAATATGTATGGATGTCTACTGTTGTGATGTCTACTATTACTACAAATACATTTATATCCTAGTGGTGGTTATAATGATTGCAGTTAAATAGTCAATTAAATCATTTCTAATATTAACGAGGTCCTACAAGCATTGGCAAGTAGGTACTACAAATGTCACTAGGCACTGGTAAATGAGGATGATAGATGTCCATAAATACCTGAACTCGGTACTGATCTCCTATCTAAACTATTACTGAAATTATTCATACATAATTAACAGCATATTTATAGATCTCAAAGGCAAGCCATGACAGTCCCCCCAAAAATCACACTTATAAACTGTCACTTACACTACCTTAAAACGAGAAGCTATAATATAGTGTTTCTTTTTTGCTCTGTTAAGCAGTTGAGGTTTATGACCATTGGGATAGTTTTGAGTAGTAAGCATCATTAACAATACTAAAAACAGGTAAGCTGCTAAGGATTCTTCTTGAACTATATTTGAAAAAGTTATAACACTCAGAGGAGACCACAGATGTGTTAATTGCAGTGGCAGATATATATCGCAATAATTATGCCTTACAATACAGTTTATGAGAAAGCTCGTTAGAGGAGTTAAAATTGTAGCAGTAAGGGCACTGATAGCTACCTGAAATCAGTTGGGACTGTGAACAAATATATGCCGCTTGGTAAATAATGAATAAAATCAACCAAATTGAGAATACAATTGGTACAATCATGGATTATATTAAAACATTTTTAATAGGAGTTTATGCCAGGTCCTCTATGTAAAGCTTGCAGAGAAACAACCACTTCACTTCTGTATGACAAATTGTCACATAATGGGCACTACACCTCAAGTTGCATTCATAAGCTGCTTAACAAGTTGAGGTAGTTGCCTAACTTCTTGAGAGGAGCTGGAATTGTGATCGAACTAGATCTGGTTTTGCTCAAAATGGTCAGTTTACCATATCTGTCATAGATCTATGAATTTCTAACATTGAGGTGAAACTAAATTATTGGTGATAAATTTCATGAATGCGTAGTATTATGATTTCTTGTGATGATGTCATTTGCATAATCTATTGACGGCACTTCAGACTTTTCTAGATGATAGAATTAATTCTAAATCAATAATATCGAGCTTAAGATTTATATAGTAGGAATATTTGAGTAATAAACTGTATTATTCAGTATCAGTGATGAGTTATAATTTTTTTTTTAATAAAAGTAATGTGTATATAATAATGGTGACTTAAACTTGAAATTTTATCGTTAACTTCACAAAAAAATGCCTTTTCAAGTGAAATTAACAGTTTTTTTTATATTACTTTGCAATNAAAAGGGAGAATTCCCTAAAAGTGGAAGCACTGCTTCAAAGTACGCTAACCTTTTTTATTGAGTCAGAACTCGTATCTGCCATCTAGTGAGTTTATTAGTTCATTAAGGCCAAAACGTTTCAAAAATGACCTCGCCGGTTCCTAAAGATGACGCTAGTTGAATGTTCTTTTCCTTTGTATGGGAGTTGCACCCCCCTGACTTTCCACTATTACTAGCCAGACCATAGATAATAATACACTACACAGATTAAAACCGTTTACATAGCCAATACACTTAATTTTTTAAACATAATTTTTAAGGTATTATCTATGGACTGTAGATTTTAATTTTTAAGTTTTTATGGTCTGGTATAGCCTTGAGCCAATCAATTATTTCGAGTGTTTGTTTTAACTTAAAGGTATTGCTTTCACAACGGTTATTAGCTGATTAACTTATAGATTCATACTTATTGTTCGGTTCACTGTCTATCTCTCAACATATGGAGATGCATCGATTGTACAACTAAATGAAAAAAAATTAGTTATGATAATGTGAATAATTTCCCCAAAAATCACATTACTAGACTAATACATATTAGGTTGGGGAAAACTCTTTTCGCATTATAGTATGTATGAGCTTGTAATAAGTTAGTGATTTAGAACTAGCAGATTTCAGAAATTATCTACGAATGTATTCGAGATCGTTTGACCTAATATTAAACCTTGTGACACCGTTTATTCAAACGCAGGACTATCCTACGAGATAGTATAAGTTCAAAAGAAAGATTGGTTGTAACATTAAGATTTCATGTAACAGGAAATTCGTATCAAAATTTAAAATTTAGTTCTTTAATACCCCAACCCCTGCTGACAAAAATTATCCCTGAAACATGTCGGGCTATTTGTAAATATCTGGCATATTAAATCAAGGTGACAGAAATAAATACTTTTTATTCGGAAATAAAACCCAAACTAAAACGTCCTTACGCACGGAGAGCTATGGGACGACTGAAATCATTAAGTAACTAAATGCGATTACAACTTCCTAAATGCGTTTCTAATTAGGCTTAAATGATTTAGTCAGCCAGAAACCATCCTTGCTACTGAATTTAGTAGGCTAGCTTACTGAATGCTATTACACTTCACTGAATTTAGTAGCGACTGAATTCAGTCGACTAAATTTAGCCAAGTGTAATAAACCTTTTAGTTTGTTGACTTTGATAACAGTAGCAATAAACATCTAACAAAAACGGGATTAAAGACATCTACAAGTGAAACTGCTGACTTTATTATTATTTGAATTTATTAAGGAATACTTAAGTTTCACATTACATAGCATAGTATAATGTATTACTTCTACAAGGCTATAAGTAAGTACTTTCTTGCTTACTACATTTCCCTCGTGTTATTATTTTTAACTATCATGATAGTTTCGAGAACCACGTTTTTTTTAAATATCCATTTGATTATTTTTGTTACTTACTTAATATAAAGTATGACAAATATAAAAATAGTATTTTACATAATTCATTTTACACATTTTGTAAAATATTATATTTTGAGTTTTCCTATACTAGAATCACAGGATGACAATATTATAAAAATGAAATTTAAATAGAAACAGAAAAAATATAGGTTTTACTATATATAAGTAAATTTTGTGAAAAAGTTCACTTTTTTATTGCATAGATGGGTGGAAGAGCTCACATCTGGTGTTAAGTGGTTACTGGAGCTCATAGACATCTACAACGTAAATGCTGCCACCCACCCTGAGATATGAGTTCTAAGGTCTCCTCAGTACAGTAACAACGGCTGCCCCACCCTTCAAGCCGATATGCATTACTGCTTCACGGCAGAAATAGGCAGAGTGGTGGCACATACCCATGCGGACTCACAAGAGGTCCTACCACCTATAATTACGCAAATTATAATTTTGCGGGTTTGATTTTTATTACACGATGTTATTCCTTCACCGTGGAAGTCAATCCTGAACAGTTGATAATTACGTATTCCATCAGAGAAATTGGTACCCGCCTGCGGGATTCAAACACAGTTGCATCGTTCGAAACGAATGCGCCGTACGTACGTCTTATCTTTTAGGCGATGTCGACTTCTACCTTGGTACCTTTTTTCTTTTTTATTGTGTGTTTTTGTGAACAACATGACGGCCCACTTAAGAGTAAAGTGGTTACTGTGTCCAATAAACATTATCACAATGTGAATGCTTGAGAGACCCATTTGAAATATCTTATCCTACAAATTAGAACGTAAGATTGCTTCACGGTAAAAATAGATCGGATGGTGTGGTAGTTACTTAGGGGGGAGCGCATAATACGTCCTGGCATCAGTAAAAATATATCTATAAATTTGGTGAAAAAATTCACAAAACCTAAGTTTGTAATTTCACTACATTTTTTCTAATTTATAAAAGTTAATTCTTACCCGGCGTCCATCTTTTTTATTATTTGTGTTACGCAACTTCTTTTTTACTTTTTGCGTAACAGCTCTAATTACATAAAAAAAAACGCCATTATCTAATTATATAAGATTGATTACAAAATATACCTAAAATTAAGAATAAACAGGATAATAGCTAGCAGTCTCCTAAATATAGTAAATATTAATAAAAACTAAATCCTTTTGAATGTTTTGCTTTGAGATCAATCAACATGTTATTTCCGTAATTTAGATTTATTAGGAAACTCTTACGTCTCTAACATCTGCATTATTGTGTATTTTATAAGCTGTAGTTTATAAAACGCTGTAGCCTTCTACGTTTTCAACATTATTATTTGGAATGGAAATATTAATTGCTATTGTGATAGAAGATACGCTATTTAAATGTATCCGCACGAAGTTCACAACACTTTAAGGTTGATAAATATTATTAAATCTCAAACTTTACTGGGCAGATATTTAGAGAGGCAAAACGCCATCTTTAGGTAAACAGTTAGGTGACGAAGGACGTTCGCGCGAAGACGCAAGTACGTAAGTTAATAATTGGTTTTCGTTGTATCAGAACAGATTCCTCGGCGGCGGTACTGCAACGACGGCGGCCCCAGCTCGGCCTGAGCTCAGAGGAGCGAGCTTGCGCCAACAGTTAGATTCAGAGTCGTATACTTCGACGACGCACAGGTACTGAACACCGTCGTACCCACCTGGATAACCGGAATAGTCATAATAATTCCATTAAGAAATTAAAAAAAGAGTAGGTAATTGTTTTTAAAACAAAACGAATTTAAATGTACCAGTGGTCACCCGGGTTGTCGAAATTCGACTATATAATTAATCGAAATTATAAGTTTGTACACCATTATGATTCTATTGTTAAAGACTATTTATTATACTTATTTAAGCTCAGATTTCGCTAAGACTATACTTTAGACAAATAATAATATAGACAAACAATATTAAGCTTTTTTTTTTTTTTTTTTAAGAGATTTTATGACCTGGTAACTGAGACCTTTAAGTCATATCTTATTTTAATCTATATTCTTAATTTTATGAAAAATGATATTATGGAGTGAAATGAAATGAAAATGATTAATTTGAGACATTAATCAACTAGGATGAAATTAAATGAGATGATATGAGATGAAATATAATCTCAGTAAAATGGTGGTCATTTACTAAGATTTTTCAGTGGACTTTTTGGAGGATCCTGAGAAGTTACGTCCAGCGGCTTTGTTTCATTTTCCCACATTTGTGCACTTTCACAGATATTAAACGGTTAATAAACCACCATTATTATACATTTAAACCCGAAGAAACACTAAATAGACAAAATAAAACAAATCACACAACTTCACTCCTCGCGTTCCCGCCAAAAAGTCCCCAATATTAAGCTATTCTCAATTTGACCACAGACTATAAGTAATAAGAAAAGTTTGACATAAACAAATAGTATGTGTGTGTGTGTTAAATAAATGGTGTTTAATTTATTGATTTAATGTATTTTTTATGCATAAAAAAATTATTAGCATTCTGCACTCCTCTATATTCTCTATACGTGTGTGGAAAATTTCATACTCCTCTGTCGGCGCAATTTTAGTAAAAAGGCGTACAAAGTTTTTGCTTCACGTATTAATATATAGATAATACACTCACCCACAGCAACGATACGATCTCCAAGCAGACAGGATCCAATGGCGTCTCTCCCGTAAGACAGCCTCGCGAGCAGTACCCATGTATCGGCGACGGGGTCGTAACGTTCCACGCAGGCGAGTCTACCGCCGACGGTATTGGCTGGGGCTTCGTGACCTCCCAATGCATACAGATAGCCCCCGGCGGCACACACCTGGTTAAATTGTTTTTATTTTACTAATTCAGAAGGTGCCTTGAAGGTGAAGGTTCTGTTTTTAAATACAAGGTCAAACAATTCTATCTCTCATCAACCGAATGATCATTGTTCTATACTCTTCGTATATACTGTGTTACTTATAATATTTTGTATTCAAGTTTAACAATATTTGCTATGTGTATGTGCATTACTATAATTCTCATGTTGTATTTGTTATTTTAGCTGTTCTACACACACTCATCACTTTTAATCCTCTCGCGGGTCTGCTGGAAGAGATTTCTTAAAGAAATAACCAGTGCCTTTGTACATAATTTTCCTATTACTCTGTACTATGTCTTCTTTTTTGTGTGTACATAAATAAATAAATAAGATGCATTATTTGTCGCTTGATTTCCGCATCGGCGATTGCTTCTGCTGATTGGCGATTATTTCTGTTATGCTTTAATAATCACAATAATGACTAAACCGAACCGGAGAATATATCTTACTCAAACGTAGCGATACACATGTGACATAACGATTTTTTGGATCAATCGCGAGCTACGAGCTCCTTGTGTTACTATAATTTTTATTTTTATAATTACTTATGTTTATACAAAAAAATGTTCCGATTGGTAATATTACAAAAGTAAATATGAGACACTGTTCATTTCCTCAAGAATTTTCTTTCAGTAAAATTGCGAGAAGAGTATCAGATCAGTTAAAAGTGATGAGCGGGTATAGACAAGTTATAAATAATGAAAACATACTTATTATCATGTTATTCAAAATATACTTATTAGCATGTTATTAAAATTACAGTCACAAAAATATTAACATTTCGATTTACTGAACGATGTATTGACGTGAACGGACATAAAGTAGTAAATGCAGCGCATTTGGAACTAATATAGGTTCAACAATTTCGATGTAGTCAATATGATAGGCTATATACTGGGTGTTAGGAGACCGCTTCCAAAAACGAAGACAGACGATTTATGAAACTATCGTTTCATTTAGTTGTACTAACATGATGGAGCGTAAATAATGCTAATAAAACGTTTTAAAAATATGATTTTTTTAAGCTATTGCATAGCTTTTATCGCGGGCCTTGAGCGCGGCTTACTGTAATCATGAAATTCCGTAACGAAAAAAACCTTACACCCCTCACTCCGCCTACCATGTAGCTCGCGTTCAACACATTCACACGTTGCGCTTGTGTAGTGTTTGTGAATAAGCGCGTGGCGTGATGTCACACTGCATGCGCATCATGAAAAGTCTGCCCATCTCTCTCTCGCGCGGTCTAGCTTATGAGTGTGAAGGGGACAGTTAAGGTTTTGCTTTTATTAATGTTTAATATAGCGTGGTCTTGTTTTATTATTATTTTAATATTAACTTATCATTGTCTAATTATAATTGCATAAGTTGATAAAAATGCTATGCAATAGCTTTACCGAGGCAGTTTCCGAGAGCCACACGTGTTTTTTTTAAATCATGATCAATTTTTCCGTCCCATCATCAAAGGTGTCATTAGTACTATCATCTGTTTTAATTTTCGGAAGCGGTCTCCTAACACCCAGTATGCGTTTCGGTTTGAAGGGTGGGGCAGCCGTTGTAACTATACTTGAGACTTTAGAACTTATATCTCAAGGTGGGTGGCGCATTTACTTTGTAGATATCTATGGGCTCCAGTAACCATTTAACACCAGGTGGGCTGTGAGCTCGTCCTCCCACATAAGTAACAAAAAAAGACTTCTGTCAGTTTTATATTTTAAATAGGTTCGAATTTCATAAATAAAACGGATGGAGTATGCGTACGCTGAGCCCGCCGCGGCGTTTGGTCATAGGGGCGCAATTGGTCCAGTGGTTGGTGGCGGGGTCATAGCACTCGACGGAGCGCAGACAGGCGCAGCCGTCCCGGCCGCCCGCCGCGTACAGCCGCCCGCGCAGCGCCGCCACGCCGCACGTGCTGCGCGCGCCGCTCATCGGCGCCACCAGCGTCCACGTGCGCGAGCACGCGTCCCATCTGCACCAACACGCAATGTGGTACAATGGAGAACTCATGTCCATCGGGGCCAGAGGCGACGCGCGGGGGACAGCTCACCCCACCTTCATCCGCCTCCCCGCATTTGTCTGACATCGAGTGTTGCCTTGACGGTTGTGACGCGCGCTTATCGATATCGAAAATTTACGCTAACGCTATTGTGTTTACGCTAACGCTATTGTGTTAACCATGACCACTCCGCTTTCAACAAGTTCAGGTAGAAAAAAAAACTACTGAAAAAAGATACATACTGATTCCGACTCTGATCTGTCGGTTGTCTTTTCATTTGATAGTGATTGAATTGGAATTTAAAAAAATATTTGTTACATTAAACCAAATTGACAGCTATTGACTAAATCGGTTGTTATTGTCGACATTACCATAATTAACTAGGCCACAGCACTACCGCATTCCTCAGGATGGACATGAACTCGCGCGCCTGTACTCTGAGTGTGAGTCGTGCATCCCGGTTTGGAAGGTACGACTATACAATTGAGACTTCATATCGACGGGTGAAAGGCTATTTGGTTTAAGCGTCATTTTCGTAACTTTACAGCGGAGCCATTTAAAGTTTAAAATTTGAAGAAAATGTCACGACAAAAAACTTCTTCAGCTATTTGAATGTGGTAAAACATCGAACTGTTGTTGCTAATCTATACTAATATTATACAGAGGAAAGATTTGTTTGTTTGTTTGTATTGAATAGGCTCCGAAACCACAGAACCGATTTGAAAAATTCTTTCACTGTTTGGAAGCTACACTATTCCCGAGTGACATAGGCTATAATCTTTTTTGAAAAAAAAAAAATAGTGATCCTTACTAAAACTCCAATAATGTAACCCAAGGTGTAAAAAAGTTACCTAAAATATTATTTACATTGCGTGTCCTGTGAAAACTATTGATGATAGAATAAAATAATGTACTACGACTTTGTAGAACACATTATTATTTACAAAAAATGTCGCGACAGCATATGTTTAACTATTATAGTTATGCCGCAATAAGTGTTCTTTTATTTAAAAAAATAAAACACGTCAAATATCGCTGACATTTTTGTTAAAGTCCCGAGCGGAGCCGGAGCCGGCCGCTAGTATCAAATAAAACGGATCTGTAATTACAAAGATAAATGTCGCATATTAACCGAAACGCCGATTAAACCTAATAGCCTTTTACCCCTCGATATGTTTGTTCTGCCTAAGGTCCGCAGGCGCGATGTAACGATCGTGTCGATGCACAAGCGAACCATTCGGCTGACAACGGTATAGGGCTGCTTGCTGTGATTTTACATCAAAACTGCTTGAAACATTTATTAAAAATTACAGGTCCACTGTTCAGAATTAATAGATGTATCTCAAATATTAATATTCACAGTGTATCGTCATAGGGTTCTAATAAAAGTACTAAAAAAAATAAGTTTACCTTTCTACAGAATTCAAATAGATCCATCCATCGTGACCTCCTACGGCGTACACTGGAGCATGGGGCCCTTCTCCTAATACTGTCACACCTAACCCATGTCTGTGAGTGTTCATGGGAGCTAAAGTACTCCAACTCAGAGATGTTAGATCAAAACATTCAACCTAAAAACGACAAAGCAATTTAGTAGAATTACTGCTTCACAACCGAATCTGTTAAAAAAGTTTACAGTTCTGTTGTTCACTTAACTTACAGTATTCAAGGTTTTAAGCCCATCTCTGCCGCCTACGACAATTAGTTTATTCTGCATTACTGCAACACCAAACTGGAGTCTCCTGGCTCCAATTTTCATGAAAGGAGTCCAAGTATTAGTTCGTGGGTCATACATTTCCATGTTATTAGCACCCTGATAACAAAAAATAACAAAACGCTATATTAAGAGATAGCGTAGATTGGACACTAGACAAACATAAACAGTGAAAGTGATTGTATGTAATTAATTTGAAATATGTTACAGAAACTTCACACTGTACTACATATTTTTAATGGGTTAAAAATCTCAAACAAATAGTTTGACGCAACGAATGAAAAAAGGGTCACGATAATTTTACGTGGATACTATAATAGTCGCGGGCTTAATGCTTTGTTCACTTTATCTATAGGATGGCCAAATTGTAAGAACGGAGACTTAGAACTCGTATCTCAAGGTGAGTGGCATTATTTACGTTGTTGCATGTTTATGGACCCCGGTAACTGCTAACTGCTACTGGGTAAACCGTGAAACCGCGGACCGTGAAGTGCCCATCAAAGCAATAAAAAAATTTATATGCCATTCACAGAAGCTCAGTTTACAGAACAGGACAGCTCTTACACAACTGGGATTATTAAGCCTAAAGGTAGAAGTTCTGATATCCGTGACGTCAGTGATCACTCAAAACAACATTTAACCTTTTCCTTAGCGCCAGTACCTAAAATTTTTTTTTTTGTTTCAATTGCATTGTTAATAACACATTTGACTATTATTCAGTGAATTAAATATCTTAAAAATTAATCAATGTAATATAAAACTGGTCTACTTTCAGTGGCTAGGTGCGTGATATTGTCGCGAGATATTCATGACATGATTCATTTGTACATTATTGACTTTTTTTTTTTATTATTGCTTGGATGGGTGGACGAGCTCACAGCCCACCTGATGTTAAGTGGTTACTGGAGCCCATAGACATCTACAACGTAAATGCGCCACCCAACATGAAATTTCAAAAAATCAACTTAAAAAAAATACAATTGGTGGGCAACTTCAAACAGTTAGATATTCAGAGTAAGACTAATTTATTATTTGCGATAATTAATTGTGTTATCGTTAATCACTATAATGCAACGCCGGTAAGAGTAACGCCATCTATCGCCGAATAGCCGAAATGAATACCGAAGGAACTAGTAACGCCGAGAACGCTCTAGAAGTACGAAGCCATCTATTGTCCTATAGCGGAAACACACATCAATGCTACTTGATTTGCCCAGAATTTTCTCGATAAATCTAAGGGTGTCGTATCGACTATAAAAGCTTTGCAGAGATGACTAGAAGTCAGTCAGTAAAGGGATATCCTCGAAGCAAAACAGCGAACGGATCACCTGAAGCGAATTGGAAGAAGTGAAGTGTGAATTTTAAAGTGTTCGTTTGTTTTAAGTGTTAATACAGTTTTAATTTGCACTTTGGTAGAATTTTTATTTATCCCAAGCCACAACGCGTAACAATAATGAACATTTTGTTAAGGTAAATATTGTTAAAACAACAGCATCAAAATATAAGTAAATACTTAGTGGAGAGTTTAAATGTTTCGTTTTAAGGTTATGTATATTAGCAATTGAATAGTTATAAAAGATAAAAGATATTTTTTGGGTTTGAAACAGAAATGAGACCAATCCAAAAAACTGGTGTTGCGTTGTAGGCAGATGCTTAATTGTCAACATTACGCATATGTTCTTGATATTCTCTTTGCATTTTATCATTATTTTGATTTCTATTGTAATTTCTACAGCTATTCAGATAATTCTTTAGCTTACTTTATAGCCATCCATGCCTCCAATAGCCAAGAGACGTCCAATGGTGGAAGTTCTTGGCCTAGTTCTGTGTGAGAAAAGCAGTGAACGTCTTTCTGGGAGTAGATGCCATTTTACTGCTTCCATAATTAAAGGTTGACACTCTGGTACATTGCCACATGCTTGTTCCACTTTATCTATTAAGTACTGAAAATAAATTGCGATTAATACTTTGTTTTCTTTGAAACAAATTGTTTTGTTATAGAACGCTTTGAATAAAAGCACTTTTACCGTCTAATAGGTTTTATACAGACTATATTACAATGCGCTGAATGCCTGGCCATTGACGGTCACCAAAGACAAAAAATTATAATTTTAAGGCGTATGCTATCACTTCAATTCATTCACAGCACCATAGATTACTAGAATACCATACAAAAAGTCTCAGAAAAATCAATGAGATTCGAAAAAGTTATGATCTGAAAATTCTTAATCATAACTCAATAAGCGGAAAGAATAAAGCCTTAAGATTTCCTGACTGAATACACACTATTAATAATGATACAAATGTTACTCACTTCGATATTCAGGCAGTTATCTACTATATTATACTATATCTATAGCCTAGTCCTTGTTTTAGTATTATTTGCAATGGATCATATTTACTAACGATCGATGATCGATCAAGTTTTAATATATATCTACAAGATCTAATTAAATATAACAACAATCCTACCTCAGACGAAAGTAAGGGTAATTTAATTAGCTTCAGTAATGTTGGCAAATAATTTTCTCTGTTAGCACTGTCATGTTGTACCCATGTCATGAGACTTTCAAATACATTTTCTTCAGTCACCACATTGAGATCATCAGATTTCAGCAGACTTGATAATTGGTCTGATTGTAGACCTAAAAACTCCTGATGTTTTACAACCTAAAATAACGGATTACAACAAGCTATAGTTCATAATACATGGCAGAAATATATAGCAGAAAACATAGCAGAATAAGATTTTTTTTTAGATTTCCTCTTTTAGCTTTAGATTTCTTCTTTTCATCGTGTAATAAATCAAACCCGCAAAATTATAATTGGCGTAATTACTGGTGGCAGGACCTCTTGTGAGTCCGCACGGGTAGGTACCACCACCCCGCCTATTTCTGCCGTGAAGCAGTAATGCGTTTCGGTTTGAAGGGTGGGGTAGCCGTTGTAACTATACTGAGACCTCAGAACTTATATCTCAGGTTGGCTAAGCAATAAATAGAAAATAAAAATGCCAGTTTGTGACAAGGGAATTGTTTTATAGTTCAGTGTTTTTTTTCAGTTTGTGGTTAATTTATAACTGTTTCATTATGGAGGGCATCGATCGTAGATCTGCGTTATTTGGTTGCTTCCCAAACTGTTGGACATTGGTATAGATATTACTTTTTGATGATTATTTTAAAAATGTTTTGTCTCTTATGATTGTTTTTAAGCTTAGTTTATTCAAACTCGTTTTTTCCTCAATAGTATAAAATGAAGCTGAGAATCTGAGACTCTTCTTCTTTGTTTATTTCTTTTAAGCCACATAATTGATTAAGATATAANCGTTATTTGGTTGCTTCCCAAACTGTTGGACATTGGTATAGATATTACTTTTTGATGATTATTTTAAAAATGTTTTGTCTCTTATGATTGTTTTTAAGCTTAGTTTATTCAAACTCGTTTTTTCCTCAATAGTATAAAATGAAGCTGAGAATCTGAGACTCTTCTTCTTTGTTTATTTCTTTTAAGCCACATAATTGATTAAGATATAACTTTCTTTATTTAAAAGAGTGATAAACAAGGAATGTTTGAGTACATAGTTTGTCATTTTGTACAAAATGGCTTGACTATGACAGTGTTATGTTAAAAAAATACTTAAGTTTACAGGGTTAATGCTAACCAAATCACATGAGCAAGTGTAGTCTACATGGGACAGAAGGCTAGTATAAAAATATTTCGAGAAAACTGTTTCAACAGCTAAAAATCTATACCTGCATAAAATTTTGGTATGTGTATTTCAAAGCTGCTTTGTTTAAATCAATGCAGGACTGTTGTTCCGCAAATAGAGCTATTCCCAAACAATTACAAGGATCCAATTGCTTTTTAAGATAAGCACAGCATGCATTTGTTACTGAATGTAGCTGTAGTAAACTTGCTGTTGACAGGAGAACTTCCACAGTTTCTTCTCTTAGTTCTGTGAAAAATAAAATAGATTCATTATATTTAATACAACCAGTAATTATAAGTGATTGATATATTCCAAAGAAGAGTCAAAGGGTTAGGCCAACACAAAAAAATAAAAACAAAAGTTGCTATGTATATATCAGAATGACTATTATTATTCAATACAAAAATGTTGTATTTGAGACAAAATATTTCTTGAGAGTGGTTGTCTTCTTAACCTAAAGGATTAACATCATAATAAGAATTCAGATTTTTCTTCCAGCTCCAAAAGCCATTTTGTACCTTGTGGTAGCCTAGAATAGCTCTATTCTATCTCTTCCTGTGGGTGTTTTAACTGAGATATTAACCTGACAATGGATAGCAACATCTTAAGAGTATTATAACAGTATATTGTGATTGCTAATCAACATTTATTTATAGGTAGGGTGTATTGTGGCTTGTAGAGGTAGTAGTAATAGTTAATAGTATCACGATCCTGCCTTTTTCTACTGTATAGTAATCTGGTGTTTCAGTTTGAAGGACAACATAGGCATTATGATCTATATTGAGACTTTTCTATTCTGTCTCAAGGTAGGTGGTGGCATTTAAATTGTTTTGTCTTTGGCCCTCAATAATCACTTAACTAGGTAGACCATAAACTAAACAGACCATCTACAGAAATATAATAAGATATGTTTGGGTATTTATCTGCATCACTAAGAAAGGAAAAATTTGATCTTTTATTTGTATCTAGTATATTAATGGCTAATAAATTAACCTATTGTGCCTGTGTAGCAATAGTGAACAAGAGCCTGTAGTGCCTGTGAGTCAATGCGCTCAAGTGTTATTTCCGTTAACTGAGCCTCACGCAGTGAACCCGTAAACATGGCTGCAAAGTACTCACTGCATGATGCCAATAATACTTTGTGTGCTGGTATCCTAAAATAAAACACAAATATTGAAAATTTTATTCTCTCATCTTTGATTAACTTGGCAGTAAGTTATTCAAAATTGTGACTTTCAAGTTATGACTAAGTTATTCAAACAAATCATACTTTTATATGGAAAGTATGATTTGTTTCATATTTATTCTTTGTTAATTTCTATGCAAGGATAAATATATACTGTAATAAATACTGTCTTATGATTTTTGTAATTTCAAGAGCTCTTTTAAAATAAAGTTTAATATAGTTTCAATAATTTCAATTTACAAGCCAAATTTTTTTTTTCTGGAAGCTCAGTATCTTTACCCTATGTAGTCAAAAGCGAATGAAATGTATTTAAAACTATATGTTTTAAACCTTGTTTTTTAAAGCATAATTGCATTATTTAAAACAGCTTCGAATCAAAGCCAAAATAACCGAATTTATAACTAATATATAAGCTTACCTGCATCCATCTGCGATTAAAAATACGTCGCACAATTTCTGTGATTGATAGTATCCGTAAATATTTTTTAAGGCTACTTCAGCGTGTCCCTTATCACAAAAGAACTCATCTTGACTAGATGAACTGGAAAGACTTAGTTGACTAAGTTCTCGAGGTAGTCCTTCATCAATGGAATTTGTGGATATATTGTCTTTCGTAGTTTCTGACTTATGAGAATCGGATCCAGACATCATTAGACAATAGAATTTTAATTTTATTTTAGAACGCTAGTCGGAATAAGAGCAATTTATAACAGAACAAAGCACAACAAAAGCACAAGATAATACAAAATAATGAATATTTTTCAATCAATGCGCATTAGAAAATGAACAATGCAGTGAATATTACTCGAAATTTAAAAACAAAGCGCTATTCCCTGACAGAACAGTCACTGACCTTTCTTTCTGTTTATTTCATTATGGCAATGCTGTTATTGCCAGTGTTGAATTTACAGTCAGTATGTAAGTACCGGTAAAACGGGGGGACAAATCCCAACTTGGACAATTTTAAGGTATGTAGTTGTTGATGTATAAAATGCTATATCAGGATCAAAATTATTGAGTCTTGGGGGTATCTTTGTTACTCAATTTAAAACTATGCAATTAGCATTCCAGTTTAAGCAAAAAGTTGTGATATCCCTATTTACCCGGAAATTGGGGTTAATGGGGTTGAAATTAGTGTCAATTAATAATTTTGCTAGGACTGCCACCACTTGGTTTTTATTAATTAATTAATTAATTTATTTANCTATATCAGGATCAAAATTATTGAGTCTTGGGGGTATCTTTGTTACTCAATTTAAAACTATGCAATTAGCATTCCAGTTTAAGCAAAAAGTTGTGATATCCCTATTTACCCGGAAATTGGGGTTAATGGGGTTGAAATTAGTGTCAATTAATAATTTTGCTAGGACTGCCACCACTTGGTTTTTATTAATTAATTAATTAATTTATTTAGTTGCACCAACAAAGTGATCACTTATATATAATATTATTATCTGGTTTAAGAGGTTAGGTGTGTCGGTTATTCCATGGATTAATTTGTATAGAAATATACCACCCATTAGTTTCCTCCGGTTAAAAATAGTCAAGATTAAAGTGACGAAGTATGTCTCCATAGCTGGGTAACTTCCTACCCAGATTGTAGCTGTAAGACAAGTTCCATAGAAACCGTTTCTGGACACTTTCCAATCGTTTCTTGTATATCTCATAATAAGGTTTCCACACAATGCAGCAATATTCTAATGTACTGCGTACGAGAGCATTATATATATTTTATATATAATTCGATCTAAATATCCCTTTATTATGAAGCGTAAGTCATTTATTATATATTCATGCATGGGTTTATTCATTTATTATGTATTTTTCTGCTTCTTCATTTAAACATTTTTGTCCACCTTGAGATTTCATTGTTGTTGGTACATGTCTGTGCAAAACCGACTTACTTATATTAAATTGCTTAGCTATTTCAACTATAGACTTATTCTTAATTTCATAGGCATTGATGTTTTTAATATTAAGGGATCATATCTCTTATAAGGCTCTTTCAAACCAACACGTAACTGATAATATAAATATTTGCCAAACAATAAAATAACACATTAGTAATTAAAAAAAAGTTCTAGATAAAAATATCATAAATAAACCAGATTCTTACCAACACATTTAAAAAAGATTGTTATAACTACATAGGCAACCCTACAAACCTGTATTTGAGTCGACTATTATCCTCTCCCCAGTGCGCATCAACATTTTTTATTGCACCACCAGTCCAAAGTCCGCTCAGCGGACTTTCCACGTAATGCGCATATGTGCATGTCAATTAATTTTGTCTATGCTGTGTTGAGTCCGCTGAGCGGACTTTGGACTGGCTAGGTTTTTTCGGTCTAGGTTTAGAAAAACGTGATTTTCTCAAAATTTAATTGGAATTATTCAAAATTCCAACTAGATTTATAATTCCAATAAGATTTCTTTATGTAATTTGTTAGACTACACTTGACCTTGAATTATATTGCAACTGTTCTATGAGAAATATAATCGGTTACCTAAATCTTATCTTTTGTTTTCCATTTATTAAAAAATAAAGACCTTGCTGGATGTAAAATTATATATTTTTTGTACAATACTAAGTGTTTGATAAAATAAAAACCAAATGGCTTAAGTTCCAATACATTTTTTTTATACTGCACATGTTTTTAAATTTTCGACAAAAAAAGACCCTCTTCAAATGTCACCTAAGTGGGTCTCATAATTCATTTGTTTTTATTACGTTCTCGGAGTCAGGGACAAAGAGTGTTTTGTTTACAAAAATTTAAGCTTATTGCCAAGCCAGTTTAAACAATGTCACGTTGTTTTATTCTACAGATCTTGAGTATGAACGTCTCAAATATGACACTCAAAATTGGTACAAAAAACAGGGTCTCATAAAAACTAAGATTTTGCAGAATATGTGCTTACAAGTGGTATAGTAATTTGTTATTCAAGATATACATGAAACTAGGCATTCATTCCAATGAAAAAAGCCACATGTTTCGAAGAAAAAAATAAAAAAAAATGTTCATAAACATAGCAAAAAATAAACATGTCTGCTCCACAAAGACGACGTACATGGTATGGATAGGACATATTCCAAAAAAAATATCCATTTTTTTTTTGTTTTTTTTTTAAACTTATTTAACTATTGATAAGTCAAAATTAGAATTATTTTTTGTGTGGCTTTGAATAATGAAAAAAAAAATAAAAAAAAAAATTCGCGTTGAAAAAAGGAGTCGCGTTGAACACTAAAATAATTTATTATATGAATAAAAGTAAAAGTTTACTTTTACGTTTTGGAAATTTATGTTTGTTAGTATAAAATAAGGTATTCTGGATTAAAAGAAAAGATTTTGGCGTATTTATGAAGTCAGAATCAGGTGCTATTTACAATAATTATTTACATAGGTATTTTTTACTAAACTTACCAGTATTTCAATTGTCCTTCGAAATGTCCACCACCATTGTCAATACACAGACGGGCACGTTTCATTAAACTGTTTTTTAACGAGAGAAGTACGCTTCTCTCTCTGTCTTTTCAATTGGTCAAAAGCGTTCAATATGCGCTGTTTTAATTGTTCGACCCTAACCGGCTCACTTCTGTACACACGTCTTTTAATTTCACTCCACAAAAAGAAGTCCATGGGCGTGAGGTCAGGTGAGCGTGAAGTATAGCAACATACTCCCGTGATGTGGACTAATAAGCCGTCAGGGACGTAAACAAACAACTGTTGCAACGAAAAAATCATGCGAACACTTCCACTAACAATTTAGCACTGTTTTTTGTTGTTGTTGCGTCGGGGCGCGGCGCGGGCGCAGAGATACAGGGGGTGGCGAGCTTCGACGCGAGTTTGCCGGAATTTATCAATAGAGCAGCGCCCCGTAGGTGTCTCAAACGCCGCTGCACGTACCTACTATCATTGATTTAGTTATTTAGCATTTACCAATTATTACGTATTTTAGTGGACAATTTTAGGACTTCGTTTTTTTATTTATTTTTTAACTACACAACTATAATTAGTTAAAGATACTTAGAGCCCGGTTAAATTTTTTTGTACTAATTTTAAAATAGTGGTGTATAACGATTTTTCTTCACAGAAAAAAAAACAAAAGGAAGATGATTGGCTTATGCAAAGAATCCTATCCTTGGTATAAAATATAAAAAAAATCAAATATAACCAAAACAACAAAAAATATATCATTACAATATTTAACATGAAGTTCATGTCATATCCATATTTTTTTTACCGGCAGTTATTTTGTCACGTGACCCTTCAAACTAGTGTCAGTGTGCAGTCCGTTTAGCGGACTTTACGGTGTTTTTGTATCTTTGAGGACGAAATTTTCGTACTTGCGACTAAAATACACGTATTTTATACTTATTAGATTGAAGTTCACTATATAATGATCTGATTACACATAATTATTTTAATAAATTTCATAATTTTTCTATCAGATATTACAAAACAAAATCCACTTACAACTTCGAAAAATGACTTGGTCGTAGCTTCGATGGTGGTTTTTAACTTAAAATGTAAAGGATATACCCATATTAGTAAATAAAATTAATTAATACTTATTGTTGCATATTTCTCAGCAGACGAACCAAACTTATTAAAACAATTAATTGCTGTACGACCGACTAGTTCGCGGGAAACACTGTTTGAAATTGCCACCAACTAAATCAACGATCTTGAAAAATTTTTGTACCACAGACCAAACAAATTTTATGTAATAAGGCGAACCTATTCATGCTTAGTCGATTTTGAAAGTACTTCAGAACGAGAACTCTAGTAAAATAATGTAATAGCCCTTAATATAGGAAGTCCGCTGAGCGGACGCGGCACTGTTGCCGCCACTGGCTGCGTCTGTTTGAAGTCCTTTGAGCGGACGGGTCACTGTTGATAGATAAATGTGATTTGACATTTCACGTATCTGTGGAGTCCGCTCAGAGGACACCGCACTGGGGAGAGGTTATCAAAGCCGGCAATCTGACTTTTGGACAATGATTGGTAAATCAGAAAAACGAATTATTGACTTTGTATTTCATTGGCAGTCACAAAACTCTTCGGAACGACATCTTAGATAAATAACAGGTTAACTATTAACCTTTATTTAATGCAGGTTTTGAACCGTATTCTTTGAAGGAGACGATTATATTCAAACATATTCAAATCAATCTGTATTGACATATCAATATTTTTTTTTTGTCCAAATGCACAGATTGCCACCTTTGATAATAGACGACTCATTTATTTATACTTAAGTCGTTCCCATTGAACTTATTCTCATCCCAATTGACCCCCTTTTCGTTGTTATTTGTACCTGAGACGTCCCCATTATTTCCAAAACAACAGATTTTTACATGTATTTCTATGTTATCAAAAAAAAACATTAAAACCAATAACAACTGAGACTTAGCTTTAATATATATATGATGGCCCAAGCACTAAATATCGTTTATAAATCACAGTCGTCTTCTATTATTGTCAAATAAATAAAAGAGAACAAAGTTTCTAGCACTAAAATAATTATCACCACAAGAAGTTAATTTGAAATGCGATTTTTTAAATGCTAGCAGCTATTGTCATGCATATTCAGAGTTCCTTTGTGAACTTTCAATATTCTACTATTACACTACATAAAAGGGAAGATTTTGCAACGAATTTCTAATATAATATTGAGCTCTCAATCCCTAATCACCCCGTTTTACGGTACCTACCTACCTAAGTACTAGAACCTTTAATGTCGTCTAATGTTTGTTGTTTGCCGAGTACGATTTTAGGAATGGAAATGAGGTATGTAAGATTTCGCATAATTGTAAGTGTTGGATGGGATAAAATGAAACAATCCTTTAAAAA